AAAAGTGTTAATTGTATGGAAATCCCAAACTATTCCAACCATTGTTATTTGTATAGTTTCTTTTGAGCCTTCCCTTTGGTACTCTCAACTTTGGTGCCATTGTATTTATTAGTAGCATAGATTATTGTTTTTCATTAGGACTGTATCCATCCGATGGGTGTGTTACTTGGAAGTCTGGGGAGGAGGGTTGGGGAAAGTGGGGGGGGAGGTGGTGGGGGGTGGGAAAGCATGGACGTTAGATCCTTGATACTGGCTGAGTTTGCAATAGCAGGTGGAACCTTAACTATTGAGGGAGTTTGCAGATACCTCAGGATTCGTGACAATGCCTTTAAAGATCCAGGAGATGTTCAGCTACTAGGAACTGCTAGCAAGTATAGCGCGAATGGCTCCGAGCTCAGACACTCTGCAGCTGAGAGTAGACACTTATGGTATGTGGAGTACAGATAAGCCAGGGGCAGGCCACAGCACTCCATGAAAGCTAGGAGAGTGAAGTTTCAGTGACCATCGCAAGGAAGGAGGCAGACAAGAGTAAGGCACACCTGACTCTTAGGACTAGCAGTAAGAACCAGGAGGAAAGGTTTTATTGCTATGCTGGTAGGTAAGAACAGATTTTACTCATGTCCATTTAGTTAACATAAAAATCCAGTTTTCTATTGCATTTTCCTTAATAATATTGAGCCAAAATTAGTCCAGTTAAGCTGAACTTGGTTTTTCTGGAGAATGTTTAAATTGATGCCCTACTATTATTGTTGGCTCCCAAATGAAGTAAATAAGCACATTAATTCTATTCTGAAGATAATAAGCACATTAATTCTATTCTGAAGATAATATTGCCCATTAGTTTTATCCTTTGACCCATTTCATTAAAACAGTGGCTCAAAGTAATGCATTAGAACCCTTTCCCCAAAATGGTGGGAGGAGGGTGGGCCATTAATGGGAGGGAGGGGGGTTGTAGCTTCAAGATGGGCCTTGGTCTCAGAAAAGAGCCAGTTCTAAAGATTGTTTACTTTTCTAGGGGAGGAATCTGCTACAAGCTTATCAGCTGTTAATTTTCTTTTAAACTTCCAAGTTCATAGCTAAAAGGTAAGTTTTCATAAATGACCAAGAGTGCTTTTTGTATTCTCAAACTAAAAAGAATGACAGGCCATGCCCTGTTGTAACCAAAAGATCTCATCTAGTCCAGTTGTAATCACCAAAATGTTTTAAAGCAGCTAGTTAGGCTGAGGTGCCACCAACCACTTTACCACTAACCTACATTGCTCACGCTTTGAGACAGTGTTGCTCAATTGCCCAGGCCTGCCCTCAAACTTGTGATCCTCCAGCTATAAAGGGCAATTTTGGATTTTTTTAAGACAAGGTTTTGCTGTGGTCTAGGCTGGCTTTGAACTTAATTGCTCCTGCCTCTGCCCTTCCCTAGTGCTAGGATTACAGGTGTGTACTGCCACACCTCAAAAAAGAGGTCGCTCACGTATAAAAAGCAATCTGGTGTTCTCAGTAATGGTAGATGCAGTTGTAGAGCCCTGTGACTTTCCTTATGTTAAAATACTTGATGAGCTCTTTCTCTTTTTGCAGGGGACATCCTTGTGAGGACAACCTTTGTCTGAGCCACTACTTCATTCTCACTGCCATGCAGTTGGTTTTAGCTGTTCTGCAGCTCTGATTAATCATTCAATTTTGTGAATGGATTTTTAAATAAACTACTTTAATTCAGCTTATTTTCCTTGTCTCCTTTTATTTAGGGTATGGCATTCATCCCATTTCAGATGTGGGAGTAGGAAGGAAATGTGTCAGTGATGTTTATTTTTGTCTGGTAAGCTACAATTTTTAAAAAGCAAAGCCCCACTCTTGTTAAGTTTCATGTTGGACATGGCATTAAGTAGGTGGACACTATTTAAAGCTAGATGTTTTAGAGACCTAAGACAGCATAAATGTTTAAAATAAAACCATGGCCTGGGATTTAGCTCAGTGGCGCTGCCACCTATCTTGCAAGTGCGAAGTCCCATGTTTGATCCCCAGTACCAAAAAAAAAAAGACCACCAAATATGCAGGAGTCTTAGTTACTCCCTCTGCCATACTAGAGATTGAACCCCAGGGCTTTCACACTGATACCTTCAGCCCTTTTTACTTTGAGATAGGTGTCAGGCCTGACTTAAGTGAGTCCTTCACAGACCCAACAGGACAACAAACGGTGCTTTTAGGAAACAGCAGTTTCTCAGTATATAGGGCAAATGGACTCAAACGTATACAACCCCTGGGCACTGAGTAGTCCAATAATTGTGTACACACCTGAGCAGATTGTCCTTGAGCATCCAAGTGAAATATTTCATTCACCGCAGATTCCTTAGCCCCTTCAAAACCTATATAAGCCTAATTGCCTTCCCTGTTGGGTGCTAATATCTCAGTGTTACCCATCCACTCGTGGATGAAATCTCCCAGCTAGCTGCTGTCTCCCAATGTCAGCCCATCCACACACAGATATGAGGTGACTTCCCAGCCAGCTGCTAGAATCTCTGATTTTAGTTCCTGTCCACTGGAATAAGCTTTCAAAAGCCTGTTTTGACAAGTGGATTCTATAACAATAGGGTGTTGCTAAGTTGTCTAGGTTGGGCTCAAATTTACCATCCTGCTTCAGGGCCCCCAGAGTACTGGGATTGTAGGTGACCACTACTGTAGCCTGCATCAACCTGAAATTTTCAGAGCAATACAGAAGCAGTAACTTACCTGGTAGCAAATGCTCAGGTTTCTCATTAGTTCACCTATCCAGCCTAAGTTTTGAATCTTAAGTAGGGATGGGTATGGTGGACCTGCCTGTAACCCTAGCACTCAGGAAGCTGAACACAGGATTACTGTGAGTTTTGAGGCCAGCCTGAACTGAACTATGTAGGGATAAGGTAAATTGTAGGGAAAAGCTTGCCTTCACTTCATTCTGAAATACTCAACATAGGGGCCTAAGGTATCTTAGATATTTGAAAAGAATGACATGGTTTTCCTTATGAGATGATTTTGAATTCACTATGGAGCCTAGGCTTGCCTGGAACTCATCTTGGTTTCTCACTTTATTCGTAACTTGAATTTGCTAGAAGAGGGTTCTTATTTTGGATACCATTGGAAGCATAGGACAGCTCACTAGCTAAACAGTTCGATAAATATTTCTATTTCCATTCTTCCTATTATAATCCATGTACTTTGCTGTACTGTATGTTTATACAAGGTTGAAAAGTAAATTTTGTATTTTCTACATAAGTAGATTCAAGGAAGATAACCTTGTCCAAGTTCCTGCACCCACTGGATCTCAACTCCAAAAACCACTGTGTACCCCATAGTACAGTATTCTCCATTTTAGTGTGGTTTCTGTGACCACAGCATTTTCTCTCCTGTTCACTGTATCATCAAACTTGGAACTTAACTAGGTAAAATGTCTGGATTTGCCAGTTACTACCTTTTTTATGAACTTGGATAGAATAGAAAAATCCTTGGTGTTCCTTAGGCAAAATACAATCAAACTTGCAGACAGCCCAAGACCCTGCCCTTTACAGTTTGAAACATAAGAATACTGTCAATCTTTTGAGGGAATTTAGAAGTGGACAAGTTGTCTGGAGTATATTCAAATCTGTTAGGAATAGGGAGATTCAAATTGCTTTCTTGCCTTAAATCTGGGCTAGAACTGTATTTTCCAGAACGTGTGGGGATGAACATTTTATATTCCCTTGTATCTCGAATCACTTGTCTGCTTTAGGGTCCCAACATCTCTGGTGTTTAGATCAGAACTGGAAGTAAGGTTTTCCTCTTGAAGCTTGTAAAATAGTAGGACAGAGGGGAAAACAAAAAACCTCCAAAGAGGTTAGATGTGTGATTTAGTGACTGGAAAGACTGAGAACCACTTACCTCCACCGAGAGTGCATGCTGTGTCAGGGAGGCCTGATTGGATTTTTTTTTTTCTTGGTGAGCTTGTCTCCCTATGTACTTCAGGCTGGCCTTGAACTCACAGTGATCCTCCTGCCTCAGCCTCCCAAGTACTGGTATTACAGGTTTGTGCCACCACAACCAGTTGTTTGACTGGATTTCAATGTGGCTAAAGAATCTGAAATTTCACTAGGTGTGGTATCGCATGCCTATAATCCCAGCACTTGGGAGGCTGAGGCAGGAGGATCCCTGTCAGTTTAAAGTCAGCCTGAGCTACACATTGAGAACCTGTCTCCAAAAAAAAAATCTGAAATTTAGTCAACTGTATTGTTACAAGGGAGAGAGAAAAGTATTGGGTAGTGTTTATCTACCATAACCAAAGAGAAAGGTTCACAGGAATGCATATTTTATTCCACTGTGCAGCATATTTTACCAAAGGCTTGAGTGAAATACTTTGAAATTTCAGTGTCTAATTAAACTCTCCTTCCACTTGAGAATAGCCCAGCCTTCTGAGAAAGTTCTGCCACATCAGGAGCCAGGCTGAGTAAGGAGGAAAATAACAAAAATAGGCCAATGGGTATTCTAGGTTGTGTTTTGCTTTGTTGTTCCAAGATTTGAGAAAGAAGAGACATAAACTTCAGGGATCTTACGTTGAGGATCTAGCCAGCCTTGAGAGCTCTCCCAGCTTTAGGAATAGGGAGCCACTGAGGCAGGAAAATTGCAAGTTTGAGGCCAACCTCGACTACCTAGTGAGTCCAAGACCCTCCCCACCCCCAACAAGCAGTGATCTGACGAATGTTCAGCTTCATCACCTCCCTCAAGAAAGAAGGCACTTGGGCTGGGGATTTAGCTCAGTGGTTTCGCCGCCTGGTGTGCAAGCACAAGGACCCAAGTTCGATCCCCGATACCAAAAAAAAAAGAAGGCACTTGGGGCTTGGTGGCGCATGCCTGTAATCCCAGCACTCAGGAGGCTGAGGCAGGAGGACCACCATGAGTTTGAGGCCAACCTGGGCTACACAGTTCAATGCCAGCCTGAATTACATAGGGAGACCTTGTCTCAAAAACCAAAAACCAAAAAAAAAACCAATAAAAAGCTATTTCTGTAAGAGCTCTTTATAGACCAAAGCCTAGACAAGTGGAAGAGGTTGGGCTGGGAAGCTAAGTCCCTCCCCAGCCTCCAGGCAAGCCTCAGAGAACAGACCTTGGAACTTCCAAATGCTGGGCTTCCCTTTGTTGTCCTCTTGGTCTAGACAACTTAGCACCTTTTAGGTCTCAGAGCTGGGGAGAACCTTTATCTGAAGGGAATAAGGGAAATACATCCCCAGCATGTCTCCCCCACTCTGGGTGCTCAGTCTGTGGCCTCCATTTTGACACCCCGGGGCACCAGGAAGATGGCCCCGTCCGCGGCCTGTTGCAGTGCATACTCTTCTGGGGAGTAGCTGTTGCCTGCCTCATCCCGAAGGTGCTGGAAAATGTCATGGTACAGCTCCGCCAGTTGTTGGCGCATGACCTCCAGGGTACGGTCAGCCTCCCCTCGAGCCCTAAGAAGCCGCTCCCTTTCATTGCCCAGCCGTTCCAACTCCCGCTCCAGTTGTACGATGGTCTCCAGCTTTCTCTTGCGACAGTTCTGGGCGGCCACCTTGTTCTTGCCCCGCCGTCGGATGTCCCGAACTAGCGCCAGCTGGCTCTCCGTCAACGGGTACCGTGCCAACAGCTCATTAAAGTCATCTACCGGCAAGTTGACAATCTTCTCCGTTGGGAAGGGGATCTTCATGGCCAGTGCCCGCCGCTCATCCCGACTGCCCACCTCCCCCCGTGCAGCAGGCTTAGGTCGTACAGGGCCTGTGGAGGGCTCTAAGGCCATGGAGGGCTCAGCAGAAGGCAAGGCATAGTTGGGGTGGGCTAAGGAGCTGGGCATGAGTGAGTAAGCGTACTCCACTGGGTACATCTCTACATACTCGCTCTGCTGCCGACCGGCCTCTGTCCCCTCCAGCTCAAGAGATTCGGCATCACTGTAGTTGAGGGATAATCCTGAATCGGATTCTGGGTCCTCTTGGGTCTTGGGTGGCCCCGCTGGCAGCCCAATGTCCAAAATGGCTAAGGGGTCTGGGAGGGGCTCATTGAGCAGGCCAGAGAGGGTCAGTGGCTTGGTGACTGGTATGACCATGTTGCTGTAGGAGTATGGGGGATCTGGTACATGGGGTGCAGATGCTGGGAGCTCATAAGGTGGTGGAGGAAGGGGGAAGCCCGAGTCTGGGTGCACTGAGCAGGGGCAGTAGGAGAGAGATGGTGGAGGTCCAGGGTATGGGGCTGAGGCTTGGGTCTCAAATGATGGCTCACTTGGAGCATTTAGACCCTGTAAGGAAAGATACAAAGAATGTGGAGACAGGCTGAGAAAGAGAAACCAATAAACCAGGTACCATGGTGCACGCCTATAATCCTAGGTGTAATTTAGGAGCCTGAGGTGGGAAGACTGTAAATTCCAGGTTGAGCAACATATCAGGGAGAGACACTGGAACTCTCTCAGGATCAAGTGAGGTCCTTCTGAAAGACCCAGCGAAATGAAATGGTAACAAGAGAGTGGAAAGTTGTCAAAAATCACTGGAAGGGCCGGGGATTTAGCTCAGTGGTTCAGACGCATGGCTGGAAAGTGCAAGGTCCCGAGTTCAATCCTCAGTACCAGGAAAAAAAAAAAAAAAATCCCTGGAAGCACGGGTGTGGTGGTGCACGCCTATGATCCCAGCACTTGGTAGGCTGAGGCAGGATGACCCACCTCATGAGTTTGAGGCCAGCCTGGGCTCCATAGTTCAGTGGTCTGAACTGCATACCAAGACCCTGATTTAAAAAAAAAAAAATAGAGAAGACCACTTAACACTGGAAGTTACAGAATCTCCTCAGAAGAAGCTCTGAGTAGAAATGACTCCTTTAATTCTTTCAGGAAAATAAGTCCATGTTCTCCAAGATGACCCCTTAGCATCCTTTCCTGCATTGGTTACCTAGGGTCAAAAGGTCAAGTTCATAGGCCGGGGATTTAGCTCAGTGGTTCTGGTGCCTGCCTTGCAAGTGCAAGGACCCGAGTTTGATCCCCGTACCAAAAAAAGGAAAAAAAAGGTCAAGTTCACAGCCTGGCCATGCCCTGGGTGCCCAGAAGAGGGAGCTATTGTTCGGAAAGGAGGGCTTGGGGCAAATCCTGAGGGCGCCAGGCCTAGGGGCAGGGGAGGGCTGGGAGTGAACAAGCACCTTGGGGAGGCAGCCCAAGCTCTGCTCTCTCCTTTCGGTCCCTGCCCAGGTGCAGTGAGGAAAGAACATGCTGGAAACAAGGCCCCCAACCCACATCAGGGACCCACCCTGCTCCAGTGCAGAGAGGGACAAAGGCATCATTGTTAAGCCAACAGACACCCCTTTGTCCAACCTGCAGGAGGAGAGGACCCCAGCATAGTCTGACTCTCCTTCCTGAGGCCCCTGAACTACTCTTTCTCTGCTACCTGGGAGAAAGGGGACCAGTTGCTAAGGGCTGGGGAGAAAATGAGTGAAGATGAGCAGGGCTGGGGGAGAGGGAGGTCAGAACAGAAGAGGGTGAGAGACGGAGGAGAGAGCAGGAGGGGAGTAGAGAGAGGTAGAGGCCTGAGCAGAGGGCCTGCTGCAAGAAGCCTACACCCCAATCAGATCTCTCCCTCCCCACCACTCCTATCTCCTGCTCTCCCACTCTCCATTTTCTCCAGGTTCCTCAGGGTTTTCATCCACATTTCCCACATACTCCAGCGCTTCTTCTCCAGGGTCTGCAACACTTCTTGCCCTGAGCCCTTTTCCTCCCCACTCCTGCCTCCCTCAGGCCAGACTCCCTGCTTCTCTCCCTTCTCCCCAGCCCTGCTCACCTGCAGCTCAGTGATGGACATGATCTCTTGCCAAGTCAGTTCCATCTCGCCCACCTCCAGCAAGGGCAGCTGAGTTACCCTGTTCCTGCTCTGCTGAGGAGGACAGGGGGGCATCCTACTGGGCCAGGGTCTGGTCCAGGTTTTCCCAAAGACCAAAGGGCCCAGCAACCTGTGCAGAAGGGAGAAAGGTATTAGAGCTGCTCCTGCTAGATTTGGCATACGTCCTGCCTCTGTGGAGGGGTCCCCCCCAGCTCCTCCCCTACTCATGCTGGACTTGTCAGCCACCCCGTTCACCTGGCAAGTTCTTCTCTGTGGTGTGGACAGCCATTGTCACTTCCTTTGGGAACACCATAGGTTTTTACCTTTTTTTCCAATAAGATGCCTTCTTTCTCCCCTACTTCTTGCTCCCCCAAACTGTAGTCATGGTCAGAGACAGAGTCAGATCTTCCAGTGTTTTTTGGTTGCTTTGTTCTTTCATTTTGTGAGGAAACATCAAGAGTATTCCCTGCTTTCCTCCCGTGTCCTCAGTTTTAGGGTCTCAACCTTCTTTCTTCAAGATGAGACTAAGTGCTTGGGGATCCCCAAGGAGTGTGTTGTGGGAAGTAAGCAGACAGCCCCTCCCCTTCTTGAAGATATGGCCCAGGCCTGGCTGCTGATAGCAGCCCTGCCATCCTGACCCTGGGCTTCCCTGCCTGGGCCAGACAGATAAGAGTTTTATCAGCTTCAGGCAGCAGAGGCAAAGGAGGATTGGGCTCCAGAGACACTGAACCTCTACCCTGTGTCCCAACAGGGGCATCTTGGCCATACCCCACCCCACCCAGGGGCATCTCTTGTCTTCCAAGATAACATAACAACCATAGCAAAGACTTAGTTCATAAGCACTTGTCAAGAGCTATGCCAGTAAGATTGATTTTCACAAAGATCCTGGAAGGTCCATTCAGAAATTGAGACCCAAGCTACCAGGAAAAGAAAGTAAGAAAAAAAGAATCCCAAGCTGGTAAATGGCATGATGAGGCCTGTAACCTAACTTCACTCCCCTGCAGCACCTTCCAGGTACCTTCCCATCACACTGCTGGGTCTCCACACTCAGAGCCAGTACTGTCCATCCTCCTCAGTCTGTCTGTACTACGGAGTCTCAGTCCCTTTTTTCCTGGGCAGTACCTCTCTTTAGACCCCTGAATCCATACTCCCCTCCAGCCCCTCTTCTCTTCTTTTGGCCTCATGTCTAGTGGCAGCTCTGCCGCAAAGCAGCAGTCTGATGTTGGGCAATTCATCTCACTGCTCTGGGCCTGTTTCCTCCTTTGTAAAACCAGAGAGTTGGACTACTTGAACTTGGAAGTCCCTTTCTGCTTGAGCAGTTTAGAGTTCTTAGCAAACTCTTCCCCATGCATTGATCATTTCCTCTGTTGATCCCTCTCCTAGTGCTACCTCTCTACTCCCTGACACTCATCTCTGCATTTGTTCTTGTCTGCTGCAAAAGAGTCCAAGTAGAATTTGGCAGGAGCCTCCTAATGTCTTAGGGTCAAAAACTGCACACACCCTACATGCCACCACCACAACCAATTAAAAAAAAAATGGGAGAAGACTGGGGATTTAGCTCAGTGGGTCTGGCGCCTGCCTCGAAAGTGCAAAGTTCAGAGTTCGATCCCCAGTACCAAAAAAAAAGAATGGGAGGGCCAGGGATTTAGCTCAGTGGTTTCACTGCCTGCTTTGCAAGCTCAAGGACCCAAGTTCGATCCCTGGTACCAAAATAAAAAATAATAATAATAAGAATGGGAGGCAGGCTAGGGGTGAAGAAAACTTATAGAAGGACAGAGAATAGGACTGAATGATCTCAGATTGCATGACTTTAGACCACCCACCAGAAACAGGGCCCATTGCAGCTGTACAATATGGAATCCACTCTTGGAATTATCACAAAATTAGCAGGAACTACAATTTATCCTTTTGAAAGAGGATCTCCTGTGCCGCTTGCTCCACCCCTTTGTTACACTGCCATCTCCAGCGCTGAGTTGGTGTAGGCACAAGCCCTTGGCCAGTGGGCAGAGTGGGTGGGGTGTTTATGTCTGTCCATTTCAACACCGGAACCCCACCATCCCCACCCAGGTTTGGTGGAAATTGCCCAAAAGCAAAGTGAATGGAGAAGGGGTTTGGGGGCAGGGACCACAACTCTTGCCTCATAGTTCTTCACTCACCCCACCCCTCTTTTGTCTCTCCTATCCTCCTGGATCTGACTCTAAGCTGCAGCACAAAGATCCTGCCCTAGGAGGCAGAAGACCAAGTTCTTTGGCCTTCAAAATACTACATAACCTTGGGCAAAGGCCTTTCCATTCAGCCTCTTCTATTAAATGGAGGACTAGAGAACCTTGATGCTGCGGAGGTCTCAGATTGCATCTGGCTCAGGGAGTCACAACTTTACTGTGCACCACACTCACCTGGGATGTGTATGAAAACAGATTCCTGAAAGCCACACCCCAGTCTTACTGAACTGAATTCATAGAGTAGGTACCCAGGAACCAGCATTTTAATAAGTACCCTGGTGACTCTGATGCAACTGGCCAATCTCACCTTGAAAACCACTAAACTAGTCCATCTGTATGCACTTACAGAGGAGAACACAAAGCCAGATGGAGATCAAGGAATGCTCTCTAAACTTGTTTTTGTGGGTTTTTTTTTTTTTTTTTTTGGTACCAGGGATCGAACTCAGGTCCTTGCACTTGTGCAGCAGGCGGCGAAACCACTGAGCTAAATCCCCGGCCCTCTCTAAGCTTCTTCAGGCTTTCGACCCTTGAGCCAGGGAAGGCTGGGCTCCAGCCTGTCTGAGCCTAGCTATCAGCCCTTTCTCATGAAGGGCTGGAGCTCAGTCTCCCCCTCTCCCAGGGACAGGAAAGTGAGAAGGTGGGAGGGGAGCAGGGGAAGGCTAGGGGAGAGGGAGTTGAGGAGAACCTCTGGACCAGCCCCACCAGCTCTCTGGTGCAGCAGCAAGTTTGCAGAAGGCCAAGGAGGGTGTGGGAAGGCTGTTTTTCTGGACACCCAGGTGGTAAATGGTGGTGGTCCACACAAGGCACGGGTTCCCTTGTGTCTCAGGAGCCTGCCTTGCAGAAAACTGGTGAGCTGGTACCCAGTGGGATAGGCCAGGGGAGAGTGTACTCAGAATTGATCAAACAGAATACCACAGGGGTCCAGAAACTGGGGAGAGGCTGGGAAAGTGTGAACAAGCAGCTCCCAATGTACAGTTTAGTCTGCATTTTAAGGTCACACAACAACCTTGTTTCATGGGGTTGGCTCTTCCTTCTCCTTCTCTTATTCCTTGGCATTATGGATCAGTTAGAACCGGTGCCATCTGCAGGAACTAAAATACATTCTCCTCAGCAGGGCATGGTGGTGCAGGCCTGTAACCCTAGCATTCAGGAGGCTGAGGCAGGAGGATTGCTGAGCGTTCAAAGCCAGCTTGGGCTACATAGTGAGTTCAAGGCCAATCTAAACTACGCGGCAAGACTCTGTCCCAAGAACTAAAAATGAAACAAACAAACAAAAAAAGGGGGCTGGGGGCTTAGCTCAGTGGTTCCACCACCTGCCTCGAAAGCACAAGGTCCGGAGTTCAATCTCCGTACCAAAACAAACAAACAAAACCTCTTCCTCCTCACTCACATTCTGATGTCTTAGAAAGCTGTTTTATTTGTTTTTATTTTGTTTTGTTTTTCGGTGCTGGGAATCAAACCCAGGGCATGCTAGATGCTAAGCAAGCACTCTACCACTGAGCTAGACCCCTAGACCCCCGGAAGGATTTTATCACAATCCCTAAGTATTTACAGAATGACACAGAGCTTTGTGCTTAGGGATACAGAATCACTGGTGAGGGAATTTAGGGAGAGGAAGACATTTGGCCTCTACCATTGTGCCAGGGCTCTTGGCAAAGGGGAACCATAGGGAGGAGGCCTGCCTCAGGGTCCTATTTTGAGGCTTATTAGACTACCCCACCTCTCCAGGTGTCAGTATAGACACTGGAAGGATGGGGAGGGATCAGTAAAATTTGGGGTATAGACTGGCAAGTAAGCAACCCAATTAGAAAGATCAGGGAGAACTCTCAAAGTGGGAGAGGCTTACAGAGGTGACAGAGAGATACCCAAAATGAAGGAAAAAAGAGATTTGAGCAGAGCAATATCAGTCCTATGGGTGCATCCATGACTGATGCTTGTGTGAGAACAAGGGAGCAGGGGACAAGTTTCTTCGATCCTGTCCTTTTCCCTAGACCCCAAACCATAGTCCTTTGGGATCAGTGACTTGAGACTCCCAGGCCCAGCAGATCTGATAGCTCCTCTCTTCTCTTCCAGTGCATCCCAGCCTCCCAGCACCTAGCAGCCACCAGCCCCAACAGGAAAGATACTCCTGTTGGTAGGGAAGCCTTGTTCTCCCTTCCCGTTCCAGTGAGCTCTACCACCCCCAGGGCCCACAGAAGAAAAGGGGCAACAGGGATGCAAGAACCCCCGACCTAACCACTTCATCCTTCTGTAGCAACACTTCTCAGACTCCAGATTGCCCAAGTCTCCAATTCCTGTTTCCCCCAAGTCGTCCCAGCTGGCTGGACGAGGCAACAGAATGGAATGGAGCAGGAGAAAGGGTGGTTGGGAGTCTGTTGGCTCCTCCGGGGCAGCCCTCCGTCTGGGCTGGAAGCTTCTTCCTGGCCTTCCCCAGACCTTCAGGGGTCCTCAGGGTACCACGATGCTGTTCGCATCCACATCCCCCCACCCCAAGGATCCCAGAACACCCAAGAAGCCATTTAAGTATTCTCCCAGAGGATTTCCCAAAGATGTCAAATTCCTGAACCAGAGACACTTTGGAAAGGTTTGCTACAAACACTGTGAAAGTTGGTTATTTCTCCCCTCCACCTCCTCAGCCTGTCCCTTGGGTCCCATCCAGACCACCCTCCCCCCACCCCCACCCCCACCCCACTTTCAGGCACCTGTGGCAGAGTCCAAGCAAGGTGCGGAGAGAGATGAGGCTCCCGGTGTCGTCTCTGGGGAGGCTGGGTCAGAGCTGGTACCTCCGGGCCAGGGATCCTGCTACCTCTGAGGAGCCGCGCGGGCCGAGCCCCGCCCCCGGACCATTGCTGGGTGCTGAGCGTGGCCGCTCCTCTCCGGCTGAGCGCAGGAGACCCAAGCAGGCGCACCGGCCCTCGCTCTGAGCCTTCGGCCTCAGTTCGCAGTTCTTCCTGCTACCCTCCCCTTTCCCTGTGGCCCTCCTCCTCCTGCCCCTTCTGGCCAAGAGAGGAAACTTGAACCCGGTGTGGTTTCTGCCCGCGCCCCGCCCCTGCCTTACTCCGGGCCAGCCAGGGCGCACAGGGCTCCAGGCTGCTCCCAGCCCTCTCAGCCCGGAGTCCAGCCAGCTCTGCGACTCTCCCATGCATAGGATGAATTCCAAACCCATGGTCCCCTCGAGATGACCTCTAGACCTTATACAGCTTGTAGCCTCCTTCTCTGCTCCCGTGGCTATTTTAGGAACAGGGAAACTGAGTCATTAGCAAGGTGGCTGGCAGGAAGTTAAGGACCTGGTGTTGGGCTTCCCAGGTGTCTAAGTAGGTAGGCATTCAGGAGGCACCTGGACCCTGGGGACAGGCTAAAGGAGCTATTTTGGGGAGGAGGAGCCATGCACTGCTTTGATGAGTCCTTTCACCTAGCGCTCTCCCCTCCCCCTCAGCCTCTGATGTTCTAAGACAAAGGCTTCTTTCTTGGCCAGGTGTTTTTCCCCTCCTTGTCCGTGTGTGAGGGGAATTGGGTGAGTGGGTGCCCAGAAGGGAGATTATTCACCTCCCTTAAAGGGGACCCTTGGTGTCCTCCTTTCTTCTAGGTAAAGCACCCCAGCCACATGGCAGTCATGTACCCTGGACAAGCCAGATGCAAGTGCAAGACTCAGGTTAGCCATCACAGCAGTCCGAATCTGGCCAGTGCTTACCCAGAAGCATCTCACTCATCACCTTTCCTCAAAGTGAGAGGACCCAAACTCAGGCCAAAGATCACTCTAGAGGCTATGAGGAAAGCACCTTCCTTCTTTCCTCCCTCTCAGTTTTTAGTAGCTTTCAGCTCTAAGAAAAGCCCTTCACATGTCTACCTTCAACTCTTCTACTTTCCTTCTCATGATGTTCGTGTTAAATTGAAAACATCTAAAGACTGGAAAAGCCAGGTGTGGTGGCACCTCTAATCCCAGTAATCGGATCATCATGAGTTCAAGGCTAGCCTGGGCCACATAGTGAGTTCAAGGCCAGCCTAAACTACATAGCAAGACCCTGTTTCAAAAAGCCAAAGAAAAAAAGACTGGGGAAGCAGACAGATGTCACCCCAGGGTAGGGCTGGCCTTCAGCCAGCATGTTCTGATGGGATTGTGCTCATAGTTAAAATATTGGAAAATATTCTGTCCTAGTTGATAAACAGCAGTGGCTGTGAGCTCTCCAGGTGTTTCTTCATCACATCACCCTACCTTGGCCACCCCACTTCTCCCCTGTGAGCCCTCAAACCCAGCAACACAACCATGCACGTAAAGAGGCTGTTTTGATACCACAAGGAGCCTCCCGTGTAGGCTTGCTTGTACTGAGATTAATCAATGCCCATGCCAAACCCATGGGTGAAT